TGCTATTGTTCTTCCTTTTTCCTGTTCCCTGTTCCCTTTTTCCTTCCTTCCTTCCTTCCTTCCTTCCTTCCTTCCTTCTTTCCTTCCATCCATCCATGGTGCACAGTGGTTAGAATGAGTATTGCAGGCAAACTCTGTCAATTATCAACAGTTCAATTCTGATCGGCTCAAGGCTGACTGAGCCTTCCACCCTTCTGAAGTGAGTAAAATGAGGACCCAGATTGTTGGGGGCTAAGAGGCTGACTCTGTAAACCACTTAGAGGGGGCTGAAAGCAGTGTGAAGTGGTACATAAGTCTATTGCTATTGTTCTTCCTTTTTCCTGTTCCCTGTTCCCTTTTTCCTTCCTTCCTTCCTTCCTTCCTTCCTTCCTTCCTTCTTTCCTTCCATCCATCCATGGTGCACAGTGGTTAGAATGAGTATTGCAGGCAAACTCTGTCAATTATCAACAGTTCAATTCTGATCGGCTCAAGGCTGACTGAGCCTTCCACCCTTCTGAAGTGAGTAAAATGAGGACCCAGATTGTTGGGGGCTAAGAGGCTGACTCTGTAAACCACTTAGAAAGGGCTGTCAAGCTCTGTAAAGTGGTATATAAGTCTAAGGGCTGTTGCTATATCATCCTCTTCACCAAGGCTTTTTCTGACTGACGAGTCAATGGTTGATTTGACTGAAAGGCGTCCTCATTTTCCAAGGATACAGCATTTCATTTTCCGGGAAGCATGAACTGAGCAAAACGGTCAAAGCTGAAACCACCCATAGTAAAGCGATTACTTTAGAAAAGTGAACTTTAGGAGCTCTGAATGTTCCCTGCTAATCTCTGCTTCAAGTAACATAAATGCAGACTGTACATCTGGACATCACCAGATGGACAATGTCAAAATCAAATCAACTACATCATAAGAACAGGAGATTGGAAAGAGCAACGCCGTCAGCCAGAATGCTTTCAGATACAGATTGCAAAACAGATCATGAATCCTGATGTTAATATACCATCTATAATTAGAAATTTAAAACAGAATAGATATGCCAGCAAAACTTCATCTAGATATCCAGTCGGAATAGAAGATCAAAGGCAGGAGTGGAATCAGTACAGATAACATGTAAAAAAGAACTGGAGAAGCTGGAAGAGGTATAAGAAACAATGCGAGAGCCATAACAGAAAAAGTTATCAATATTTCAAAGAGGAAAAGATGCAGCGGCCACTTGAACAAGTTAGTGTGATAGAGAAAGCATAAAAGCCTTAAAAGGTAAAGGTAAATGTGCTGGTCATTCCTGACTCTAGGGGGCAGTGCACATCTCAGTTTCAAAGCTGAAGAGCCAGCGCTGTCTGAAGACATCTCCGGGGTCATGTGGCCGGCAGGACTAAACACCAAAGGAGCATGGAACGCTATTCCCTTCCCACCAAAGGTGGTTCCTATTTTTCTGTGCATGTGCAGAGCTGAAAAACAAGTTGGCAGCCTATGGCACCATCCGGGGAACCAGTTCGGGGGCGTGGCAGGCCTGGGTCGCTGGCGGTTCCAGCAACCCAGGCCACCAAACCACTACCGGTTCAGCTGAACTGGTCTGAACCAGTAGGAATCCACCACTGGAAGAAGGGATAGGAAAGGGGAAAGGGAAAGAGGAAGGACAAAGAAAAAGATGGGAAGATGGAAAGAGAGCAAGGAAGGAAAAATAAGGAAAGAGGGCAAGGAAGAAGAAAGGAGAAGGAAGAGGGAAGGAAAAAGAAAGAAAGGGAGGGAGGGAGGGAGGGAGGGAGGACGGGAGGGCAATAGCAATAGCACTTATACATAGTGCTTTTATAGTCCTCCATAAGCGGTTTACAGACTAAGCCTGTTGCCCCCAACAGCCTGGGTCCTCATTTTACCCACCTTGGAAGGATGGAAGGCTGAGTCAACCTTGAGCTGGTCAAGATTGAACTATTGGCAGTGGGCAGAGTCTGCCTGCAATACTGCATTCTAACCATTGGAGGGGGAAAGGAAGGAAGGAAGGAAGGAAGGAAGGAAGGAAGGAGGGAGGGAAGGAAGGAAGGAAGGAGATTATAATGAGAGTGAGCACTTAGCCACCATAGGTGCCCCCAAGATGAGTGAAATCGAGCTGACCATGCCCACCTAAATCCGCCCACTCAGCCCTCCGAGGCCAAACACAACCCTGAAGCGGCGCTCAACAAAATTAAGTTTGACACCCCTGGTTCAGCGTGTAAATGACATTTGCAGAGAGAAAAATTTGCTGAGGAGTAGACCCTGCTAAAAAGGGAGATTTGGCAAAAACCAGCTATTAAACAGGGAAGCGCCAAGTGCAGATGGAATGGAATTGAATTGTTGGACGTTGCAGGAGACCAACCTGTCCAAGAGCTTACGGCTCTGTGTCAACAAACAGGGAGCAAGACTTGGTGAGCAAGAGAGAGGAAAAGGGGGATGAGCGAAGGATGGGAAGATGGCACCAATTGTTCACATAAGCAAAGTTTTATTTAAAAGCTTGAAAAGTAAAATAGAATCGTGTTTGGAGAGATAAATGCTAAATTAATAGGCAGGTTTCTGAAAAGGCAAAGGGGAATTAAGATGAGTAAAGTAATGTGAGATAGATAAGAGAGGGAGAGCAAGAGAATATCAGGCCATTAACTTTGCTTTATTGATTATAGCAAGGCTTTTAATTATTTAGATCATGCTAGAGAGTGGAACATATTAAGATTAATTGCTGTACTAGAACAATGGTTAGTTTTCTGAGAAACTTCTCAATGAACAAGATGCTACTATAACAACTGAATTTGGAATAAACAGCATTTTCCGTAATAGGAAATGGTTTGAAATAAGAATACATACTGTTCCCATATCAATGTAATTTATGTAATGACACATATTATAATTGCCGGATTGGAAAAGTGGCAGCTGGACATAAAATAGGGGGTCAAAATATTAACAATTGGAGAGATATAGTCTGAGAAAGGACAAGCTGAAATAGCTATTTCTGAAAATAAAAAATGGAAAATGAACGTGCTGCAGTTTAATACTTAACTTGGACCAGGTTAGTAAACGTAACAATTGGTAGCCAAAAAGACAAGATGGTTTAGATAATTTTATTTTCTCGGGCCCCACAATAGATGAATCATGAACTGGTGAAGTAAAGAGAAGATTTATCACAGGAAGGGAAGAAACAACAAACCTAACCAAGACAGAGAAGGAAAGAGATAATTTGATGACAACAAAGATTGGAATAGTTTTCCAAGTAGAGATGCTAAAAAGTGAAAGACAAAGATAGAATGGTGGATTACAGATTGGATTTCAAATTAGGGATTTGGAGAAGGTACTAAAATAGCTACTGGGGATGGCCAGAAGGGTCAGTAAATCAGTATGGAATCTAGAGATTCTCCATCATCCAGGTCATGGTTGTCCCAAAGGTGCTTTTTCAGGAGGCAACTGGACTTTGTTAATTTTTCTTTTGAAGAGGTTTCACTTCTCATCCAAGAAGCTTCTTCAGCTCTGACTGGATGGTGGGGAATGGAAGAATTTATACTTCTTGCAGACAGCTGGTCATTTGCATCCTTTTAGAGGGTCCTTGAGGCCACATGGAGGTTTATCTGTGTCCTCTGGATCACCTGATTAGTGCAAATGGGTGTGGAGCCGCCTTGGAACTGTTCAAAGCCCTCTTTCAACTGAGGGGGAGGGATATGACATCTATATCTACAACACAATCCTTTCAGCTGTTTCAAGAAGGCTCCATGCCCATTTTCACCACTTGGGAAAACTCCAAGTGGCCTCCATGACTCTCTAAAAGGATGCAAATAACTAGCTGTCTGCAAGGAGTATAAATCCTTCCATTCCTCACAATCCAGTCAGAGCTGAAGAAGCTTCTTGGATGAGAAGTGAAACCTCTTCAAAAGAAAAATTAACAAAGTCCAGTTGCCTCCTGAAAAAGCACCTTTGGGACAACCATGACCTGGATGATGGAGAATCTCCATAGACATTTCACCNCCCTGGAATGCCTTTTTGTTACATTTGTTATATACACATACATACATACATACATACATACATACATACATACATACATACATACATACATACATACATACATACACACACACATACACACACACACACACACACACACATACATACACCATATTTTTTGGAGTATAAGACACTCAGAAGTATAAGGTGCACCTAGCTTTTGGGGAGGAAAACAAGGGGAAAAAATCTGCTTCTGTCTCCTAGCAACAAACAGCAAACAGTACAGACAATATACCTGCTTGTAGTGTTACATTTCAGACTATACTCGTATAGATACTATTAAAATTGATGTGGCTTTCTGGAAGTATACATTAATTAGCACAAAAAAAAATCTGCTTCTGCCTCACAGCAATTTGCCTGGTAGAGCAAACAGCAAGTTTCCCTTTCAATTTCAGAATGGGCCTCCCAATCATCAGCTGTTTCAGGCTGCTGGGATTGCCATAGCCTATTGCAGCCTCCGCAAGCCCCATTTTCCCCATTGGCTGCAAGGAGGTAAATTGCTGGGAGGCAGAGACCAAAGCGTGGGTACGGTGGGTGGCAACAGCTACATTTGGAATATAAGATGCACACACACCCTCTTTTAGGGGGGGAAAAGGTGCGTCTTATATACTCCCAAAAAGTACGGTGTATTTTTTGGAGTATAAGACACCAAAATATATATAAATATATAAAGAATTAAGAACTGATTGGGCACTGCAGGACTGAAGGGACTCTCTCTGGTTTTGGCAGGAGGCCCTGGCCAACATGGGGATTGCCACCAAAACTGAAAGCCAACAGTGGTTCGCGGGCGAGAAATTGGGCCTGACGGGGTAAGTGCAGTTCAGCTGGCTGGTTCTGGCTTCCATGAGGACATCGGCCGTATTATTGGGGGAGGTGGAAGAAGGTAGGTCATTTGTGCATTCAGGTCTTCTCTTGGCTTCTCCAAAGACACATTTGTGCTTGAAAACAATTAGGGAGATTCTCAGTCATCTAGGTGTGTCAAAGGTGCTTTTCCAAGAGGCAGTTGGACTTCCTGGTAAGTTCTCAGAAACTCCAGTTGCCTCTTGAAAAAGCACCTTTGGGACAACTGTCTCAAAACGAAGCAGGAGAGGAGGCCCTGGGGTGCACCGGTGTGCGGGTTGTTTCTGCCAGCATTATAGCCAGTTCAGTGCGCTCACAATTTTGCTTGTGCATAGTTGCCTATAAATAACTCTGCATCCACAGAACATTAAAAAATAGGGAGGGAACAGTTCAGGGGCATGGCAGGCCTGGGTCACTGCTGGTTCTGGCGACCCAGGCCGGCATACCACTACCGATTCGGCCAAACTGGGCCGAACCAGTAGGAACCCACCTCTGCCTGGGTGATGGAGCAGCTTCCTTGCAAAGAAGCAGAAACAGGGTGGCTTAGGGAAGACAGACAAGACCATGGAGATGAGAGCCAACCTCCCTTTCCCCCAGTCTCAACCTCTAAAGCTGAGCAGTGGGCGACTCTGGAGCAGTAAGGAGCCCCTTCCCCCCAATTGCGAAATAGCCTCGCAGCCATCAATTGGGCACCTTCATGGGACAAGACGAACCCACAGAGGAAAAGGCCCACCAGGTGTGATGGCTAAACATTATGCAGCCCCTCCATTCACCAGAGCTTGACTTCAATCTCTTTTCTCAGAACGGTGGACTTGCTGGACTGGAATAGTTTGATCGATGGCCGGATGGAGATTTCCAAACTTCTGCTTGTCCCAAACCTGAAGGTAAACACACCAGACCTTCCAGGAAGTCCTTGGTGGTGATGGAGCGGGTGGGGAATGTAGCGGTTTTGGGAGACTTCTGGATCGACATTGGGACCACATCTTTCTTGGTTTAGGACAGTGGCTGCTTTAAGGGGTGTGGTCTTCAATTCCCAGAATTCCCCAACCGGCATAGCCTTGAAGCTGCCATAGTTGAGAAATGTTGGGTTTAGGGAGCTGCAGTTTTAAATTCCCCCCAAATACAGAAAGGCTGCACATTTTTTCCCCCTGCCAGGTCGCATTCAATTCAAGGATTCACAGTCAGAGTCAATTATGTGTTGTTCTCTAAATATGCTAGTCCTCAGTGAGTTGTCTACACACACACACACACACACACACACACACACACACACTGCCCCTGGTAAATATCAGGCTACAAAAATCTGTAGAGGGATGTTCATTAGTTTCACAATATCTGTGAAGCAGATTCACAGCATGTAGGATTGGTGGTTTATTTATCTTTAAATTTTATTCACTAAATTGATAACGCCGCCCGTCTCCTATCAAGCAACACTTGGCACGCATGTAATCTCACCTCCGCAGCTGAGTAAGGAGCAGGGTGGCACCTTCTCTTCCCCTGTTCTGAATCGGCTGCAGAAAATTCATCATTTGGCCAGGCTTGGCAGCTTCTAAATATGTCAGGGATGATTCCTTGAGCCTCTGCTGGAAGAAGATAATGGACAGAAGAGATAAAGGACCAGGATGCTCTTTGGCTGGCNTTCAGGCCATTTTCAGGCTGGTTTTGGCCTGAAAAACAGCTGAAAAAATGGTCTGAAAATGGCCCAAAAATGGCTGGAAATGGCTCAAAAAACAGTCTGAAAATGCCCCAAAAATATGTATGTGCCAGCCAACTGGTCTTTGGATTTCTGGCACTCTGGTGCGCGCATATGCACGTATGCACATCCTGGTTTGGCCACTCAGTGACAGAAAGATTCGCCATCACTGAGCTAAGAGGTTGGCCCTGGTTCCTTGTGAGGGGCTCTGGAGGCCCCAAATGGATGCCTCTCCTCTAGGCTTGGTCACCCTTTTGGCCTGGCTGACTTTGCTCCCACTTATGAGTGTAAGCAGATTAGGCCATGTGGGAGACCACACAGAGAGAGAGAGACAGAGGCAACCAAGTTAAACCATTATAATTAACAAGGATGGTCACAACCAGCTTTCTTGGTTGAGCATTTCCTAAAATCGCTTGGAGGGAAGGGGGCTTGGCGTGGCTTGGGGTGCGAAGTGGCTGGAGATTCTGGGGCTAAGGGGGCTCCCTTCCCTGCTGGCTGTCCTTCCCAGAACAGAGAGAGAAGCGCTATAGTGTCCATCACAAGTTTGGGGACCGGCGGGATGGTGTCACTGGCGCCCGAACCTACTTCTACGCCGATGAAGCCAAATGCGACCGGCACATGGAAACATTCCTGAAATGCATCGAGGCCTCAGGTGAGCAGCTGAGCAGACTTCGGGGGGGGGGGGGGAGGTCAGCCTCCCCCCAAATCGAAGGTCCTTCCTCCCACGAGATGGGCATAAGGGTGCAGGACCCCTCTGTAGAACCTGTCTTCCAAGCTTCTAGGGCAAACATATGGCCCTAGATGATGACCAAGGATCAGGCCAATGGGGGAGAAATGAGGAGCTGCAGTCCATGCAGACCTTGGGTTGTCTCCTCCACTTTGACTGCCCTCAAACATGTTGCCGGCTTTCTTGGCAACTTCCATGCTGCTTTTCAGTTCTGCTAATGGAAACCAATCTGCTCGGAGGAGATCTAGATCAGAGGTCTTCAATCTTGGCAACTTTAAGACTTATGGACTTGGGAGTTGAAGTCCACAAGCCCTAAAACTTTGCTGGCTGAGGAACTGCAGGAGTTAAAGTCCACAAAGCTTTGCCAGCTGAGGAACTCTGGAGTTGAAGTCCACAAGTCTTAAACTTGCTTAGTTTGGAGAGCTCTGATCTAGATTGAGGGAGTTCAAGAGTCCCGGCTTGGCGTCACTCTGGGTTCACCTGTCTCAAGGCTTCCAGAGAGCCAGGGTGGCTCCTGACCTTCCTGGTCCTCAGGACAGGATGGCTAAAGTGCTCCTGGAGAGGAGATGCCCCTTTGGCTGATGATCTTTCTGCACCCGAAAGGCCCCGAGCACTAACTCTTGTTTTTTAGGAGGAAGCTCAGAGGACGGTTTCTCTGCCATCAAGCTCACAGCGCTGGGGAGACCGCAGTTCCTGGTATGTGATCACCTGCTCTGGATAGGCCGTGTTTGGTTTCTTGGCTCCCTGCTTGCCCCATCACCGTTTAGCTCGGGCCTTCGGGTTAAGAAAGACCCCGCAAACTGCCCGATGTGGCTCTGGCAGTGCCTCTCCCTGCTGGCAAAGACAGCAGTGGGGTCCCCTCCATGGAACAGGGTCAACACTAACCATCCCAGTTGGCACATTCTAAACAAAAGTGAAACTTTATCGAAAGCTCCATGTAGGAGGTACAGCAGAAGCAAAGTTGGTTCTGAGGTTTTCCTGTGAAAACCGGCGTAGGAAAACTGTCAAGAGTTTGTTGCATAAATTCAAATCCAGAAGCAAACACAGATAACTGATGCAACAGGATTCATTAACTTCTTCATATACATAAGAATAGATGAATAAATGTACGATAAAACACAAGGCAGGAAAGTTACAGGCAAACACAAGCAGTTAGTTTCATTTTAGCAGACAAGCCCAGACAGGTTGCTAGTTTACTTCTCAGAGCAGCAGACTGCTTAAGTTTCTGCTTCAATTCTCTGCACAGACTCAGATCTGTTTAAGCTCCCATTGGTTGACTTAGTTGTTATGCCTATTCATTGACTGACCTTGTTCCCACATCTCTCCCAATCATGAATATTTTAACAAAAACATCCCTTTTCTTCCCTGGGCCTCCCGCAGTTCATTATCCACCAATTACATGCTGTGCTTTTGTTTGGGGAAAATGTTCTGTGCCGTTGGAACAGTTCTCGGAGTTTGGCCTTGGTGGATATCTCTTCTCACAAGCAACAGAAGGCTCTTTTGCATTCCTCAGTTCTCCCCCCTTCCTGGGAATTTACCACCACCCCACCAAAAAAAACCTCTCATATGCGGCGCTCCCAAGCTCCGTTTTCACTGGCAGAGGGTTGGCGGAGACTGCGGCAGCCGAAAACGAAGCTTGGGAGCCCATTTTCACTGGCAGTAGCACTGCAGTCCAGTCCTTCTTTGTTTCTAGGGTAGCCCCACGGGCCAGATCTAAATACCCTGCAGGCTGAATCCGGCCCCTGGGCCTTGAGTTTGACACCCCTGTTCTAGTGCTTGTTGTGGTGACTGAATCCTAGATCCCCTGGGGAACCCTTTGGAGACCCTCCTCAGGAGGGCATCTCTGGCCAAGCCCCTCCTTGCATCTCGATATAGATAGCCAACCAGCAGGCACTTCATTCCTGTGAAAAGGCCAGGCTTCCTTGGGGCTTATTGTTTGTCCAGTTTCCATTGTTGTTGTGTTTTAATGGACTCTAGCATCCAATTTGCATTTAAAAGTTGGGGGAGGGGGGAAAGTACCTGCTAACTCTAATTTTGATGAAATGGCCATGGGACTTGGGTTTTTAGCAGACGGGATTCAACCACTGTGGATCTTAATGGAGTCCCTCAATTTAGAAGGAGCATCTTTTTAAAAAAAATTAAGTGGTGCAGTGGCCTAGAGGTGGAGCTCTCGCCTCACAATCAGTAGCCTGTGAGTTCGATCCTCAGTAGAGGCAGATATTTCTCTTCTCTGGTCACAATGAGAATATATCTGCTGAACAAAACTCCGCATTGGCAAAAGGAAGGGCATCCGGCCATTCAAAAACGCTGCTAGCTCCATTCAGTTGCCCAGACTCCACCCTGCAAGGGATTATGGAGTCATTAAATGATGATAGGCCTTTTGGGTAAAATAGGGACCAGAAATAAAGACCAGAAAATGAATTATTTTCTGCTTCAGGAGAATCAGATGTTTCTCTCTCTGGTCACAATGAGAATATATCTGCTGAAGAAAACTCCACATTGGCAACAGGAAGGGCATCTGGCCATTTAAACACTCAGCTAATTACCCAGAATCCACCCCACAAGGGTTTATGGGATTGTTAACTGATGATGATTTTTAAAAATTTCTTTGCTAGTCCAGGACAATAGTTTGCCTTTCCTCATTGATACCTAAATGCTTATCCGAGAGGTCTTGAGCCACCAAGGTCCAAGGCCCATCCAAGGTTCCTGGTCAATGCAGGGGACGTTCCCTGGACTGACCAGGCCTCTCAGGGATGTAGGGCAGATGTTTTAACTCAAGACAGGGCTGCTCACTCGGTCTCTGCTTGCCTCCAGCTGCAGTTCTCGGAGGTTCTGGTGAAATGGAGAAGCTTCTTCCACCAACTGGCTGCTGAACAGGGCAAGGTGGGCTTGGCAGCTCTGGAAACCAAGCTGGAGATAGAGAAGCTGCAGGTGAGTTTCTGATGGGGGGGGGGGGGTTAACAAAACAGAGTTGTCTAAAGGAGACCAAATTTCTGCATTGAGAGAAAACACCTGTTGGAAAACAGACACAGGAAGCAAAAGTAGAATGGTCTCCTTTTGATTTGACTGCATTTCAGGTTTTAAGTCAATATGTTGTTGTACCAGTGAAGAGATCCCTACAGAGGAGAATGTGATTAGGAAAATATTAGAATGTGCAGAAATGAACAGATTGACCGATTATTATACAATTTGGGAATCTTTTTACTGGTGGTTAGAGAACAGACATAAGAATTAATAGTAAAAGAAGTTATCTAAAGTATAGAAAATGTATTAATAGTCAATATAACTAATAGATTTCAATAAATTACAGTGGGGATTGTTATAATATTAGATACTTAAGGTATTGGAAATTAAGCTAAAATGAGATTAATTTNTATGTCTGCTCATCCCACTGAGGGACTCTGTGCCATGCTGAATCCTGAAGGAAATAAAAGGTGCAGGGTCAAGGTTATATGGTGCAGTGGTTAGAGTTGCAGTATGGCAGGCTACTTCTACTGGCTGCCGGCTGCCTGCAATTTGGCAGTTCAAATCCCACCAGGCTCAAGGTTGACTCAGCCTTCCATCCTTTCGAGGTGGGTAAAATGAGGACCCAGATTGTTGGGGGCAAAAGGCTGACTCTGTAAACCGCTTAGAGGGGGCTGTAAAGCACTATGAAGCTGTATATAAGTCTAAGTGCTGTTGCTATTTCCCTCCCTCCCTCCCTCCCTCCCTTCCATAGTGTACAGTGGTTAAGAGTGCAGTACTGCGGTCTACTTCTACTGACTGCCTGCTGACTGCAATTTGACAGTTCAAATCTCATCAGGCTCAAGGTTGACTCAACCTTCCCTCCTTCCAAAGTGGGTAAAATGAGGACCCAGATTGTTGGGGGCAATGGGCTGACTCTGTAAATGGCTTAGAAAGGCCTGTAAAGCACTGTGAAGTAGTACATAAATCTAAGTGCTAGTGCTATATGCTGAAAGCCACCAACAGGCCATTTTGGAGGATGTGATCCAGAAATAGTAAGCACAAGAGGCAAATGCTCACCCACTCAACACCCGAGTAATCCAAAGCCAAGCTATCGTATTTGGTAGCCCAGTTCTCATCCTTTGCAGAGATGAGTGGAAAGGGGGAGTGATTTTTTCCTGTCTTCTAGAACCCTAAAGCGACCAAAGAAGAGTCAAAACTCTCACTCCATGTGGCCTTCCTCAGTCACCAGAGGGCATCCTGTGACCCTCAGCATTGTGGGAGGAATATGTTGTCCACTTTGCCCAAAAAAGCCTGGTGGGTGTTTGTCAGGGGACTGGGTAGGTTCCCTTCCAGTCTCTAAGGCAGAGTCCTCGACTGTGGCTGTTTTAAGATGTCTGGACCAACTCTCTGAATTCCCTAGCCAGTCCTGCTGATATCCACCCATCTCAATCAGAATAGGGCTGGAAGGGACCTTGGAGATCTTCCAATCCAACCCCTTGCTCAAACAGGAGACCCTATACCATTTTAGACAAGTAGCTGTCCACTCTCGTCTTAAAAACCTCCAGTGATGGAGCACCTACAACTTCTGGTGGCAAGCTGTTCGACTGGTTAGCTGTCATCACCGTTAGGAAGTTTCTCCTTAATTCCAGGTTGCTTCTCTCCTGGATTAGTTCCCATTATTTCTTGTCTTGCTTCTGGTACTTTGAAAAATAAATTGTCCCCCTCTTCTTTGAGGCGGCCCTTCAAATACTGAAATGCTACTGCTATCATGTCCCCTCTAGTCCTTCTTTTTTCTAGACTAGCCAGACCCAACCTCTGCAACCAGTTTTAGTCTCAAGGCCTTGGATCACCTTCGTTGCTCTTCTCTGCACATTTTTCCAAAGCCTCAACATCTTTTTTACTAATGTGATGATCAAATGTGCAGTATTCCAGGTGTGGCCTTACTAAGGATTTATGAAGTGATACTAATACTTTGCATGATCTTAAAAAGCGGCCACAGTGGCTCAATGGCTGAGACGCTGAGCTTGTTCAGCGATTTGAATCCCTAGCGCCGCATAACAGAGTGAACTCCCATTACTTGTCCCAGCTTCTGCCAAACTAGCAGTTTGAAAGCACATAAAAATGCAAGTAGAAAAATAGGAACCACCGTTGGTGGGAAGGGAACAGCGCTCTGCCATGCTGGCCACATGACCACAGAGACGTCTTTGGACAGCGCTGGCTCTTCGGAGATGCACACCGCCCCCTAGAGTCGGGAATGACTAGCACCTATGTCCGAGGGGAACCTTTACCTTTAAAAAGCGACCTGGGTTGAGAAACGCAGCTGCTCCAAAAGCTTGCTTGAGGTCACCCCTGGATTTTTCTCAGTGCCTCGGCTGCCCCTCCCTTTGGTGCCTCTGGGCACAACTTGTTCTGCGCATTTTCGCTTCCTGTTTGCATTCTCCCCTAGAGCCGGGCTGGTTTCCATTGGAATCTGGAAGCAGGAACTGATTAGGGAGGGAGGGAGGGAGGGGGCCCCCTTGGGAATTTGCTTGCGCCCGGCCCAGGAGGAAACCCGAGAGGGTCTTCGCCCTCTTTGCGTCACAAGGCGCAGTGTTGTTTCTTTGTGGGACACGGTGTGTTCCTCGTGACTTGCCAATGAAACAGCCTTCCGCTTTGCGATTGGCTGAGGGGCGACATGCCCCCTCTCCCAGATTGGCTGCGGGGGAGGCAGATTCCTTACGCAAGAGAAGCAGCTGCCAGAAACATGTGCGAAGCTGAGCTGGAATCCGTCTTTGTCCTGCTCCTCTTCCTGCCTGGCCAGGTGAGATCAGTTAATCCGGCTCTTGGCAAGCCTGGTACTCTGTGCCATCTGATCTCCAGGAAGGCAGTTCAGGGTTTGTTTTGCAAGCTTCCATTCATTTCAGTGCATGGGCTGTGCCAGGGAATTGGCCTTGGTCTGAGGATCACAATCTGGTGATCTTCCCCACCTACCAATAAAGGAGAATATTTATAGCCCAGGGTTGAAATGAGGTGTCCTTGGTGCTCTCTGAGCTTGGTGGTTTTCTTGCAGACATTTCATTTCATGCACTGATTGTGTTACCTAGTTTGGGTAGAGGTATGCCTAGTGAAAAGAAGAACTAGGGGTAACGCGATAGCAATGTTCCAGCATTTGAGTGGCTGCTATAAAGACGGCGGTGGGGGTCAACCTGTTTTCCAAAAACAAGACAAGAAATAATGGATGGAAACTACTCCAGGAGAGAAGCAACCTGGAACCAAGGAAAAACTTCCTAACAGTGAGGACAATGAACCAGTGGAACAGCTTGCCACCAGACGTTGTGGGTGCTTCATCACTGGCGGTTTTCAAGAAGAGACTAGACAGCCACTTATCTGAAATAGTATAGGTTCTCCTGCTTGAGCAGGGGGCTGGACTAGAAGACCTCCAAAGTCCCTTCCAGCTCTATNTTAACATTAAGATTAAAGGATAAAGAAGAGTCTGAATACTATGAAATTTGGGATAATTGGTATAAATGGTTGCATAACAGGAATAAAGTTAATTCAGTTGAGAAACAATAGAGAAATGTATAGAACTGTAGATGAATGTATTTAAATATAGAAGTGATATAAGATTAATATTTCCAGGTATGATGAAACAACAATGTTAATGGGATGATTGTAAGATGTAATAGAGGGGAAAACAATACAAATTTGATCAACCCAGAAGGCAGTTCCTCCTCCTCCTCCTCATCATCATCATTGACTGGCTGCAGCTGGATGCTTTCCCCACCTGGAGCCTCAGGTGGTCTTGCTGTAGCTGTGCTCCAGCCAAATCCCCTCAGCTGGTTGTTTAAAGCCATTGATCAATTCCCTTTCTGAAGTGACTGGGACTAGTTTTATCTTCCTCCAAACTGACATCTGGAGAGGAATTTGGGGAAACATCTGGGGGAGTCATCACAAGAGGGGCACAAACTGACTCCAGACCCTCCCCCCACCCCAGATTGGCCTGGCTCCCTTTGGGGATTCAAAACTAGCAGCTGGAATGATGAAATAACCTCAAGCTCCACATTTATGTCTGGAAATACTTTCTAATCTCATCTCTCAACCTTCCCAGACAGGCCAGCTTGAGCCGCTCCTCTCCCGCTTCACCCAGGAAGAGGAGAGGCAAATGAAGCGCATGTTGCAGCGCATGGACATCCTGGCCAAGGTGAGACACTCCTCCCCCCCCCCCCCCGGCCCATAGCACTTTTTGCAGTATGGTGACCAAAACGAGATGCAATATTCCAGGTGGGGCCTTACTAAAGATTTATAAAAAGGTACTAATACTTCATTTGATTCTGATGCCCTGTCTCTGTTGATACAATCAAGGATGGCATTAGCTGTTTTGGCTGCTGCTGCACACGGCTGGCTCCTGTTTCAGTTATTATTAAGAGCTAATCACCATCTTTTACTCTTCCTTTTTAGAAAGCCGTCGGGGTGGGCGTGAGGTTAATGGTGGATGCAGAACAGACCTACTTCCAGCCGGCCATCAGCCGCCTCACCTTGGAGATGCAGCGGCGATTCAACCAGGAGAGGCCAGCCATCTTCAACACGTATCAGTGCTACTTGAAGGTGGGATTTCCTGGTGGTCTCCTACCTAAGTATTGATCAGGTCCAACCTGACTTGCTTACGAGCCCAAAGCAGTCATCAAACTTCCCCCTTCACCCTCTACATTGGCCAAAACAGCTGAACAAGACAGGTTGCACTAATGGATGACAGGAATCATCATCATCATCTTTTAATGACCCCATAATCCCTTGCGGGGTGGAATCTGGGCAACTGAATGGAGTTGAGTGTTTACTGGCCGGATGCCCTTCCTGTTGCCAATACGGAGTTTTGTTCAGCAGATATATTCTCATTATGCCCAGAGAGAGAAATATCTGCCTCTGCCTAGGATTGAACTCATAGCCTTCTGATTGTGAGGTGAGAGCTCCACCTCTAGGCCACTGCACCACTCTAATGGTTGACAGGAATGCTGGAGGAAAAAAGGCTTGAGATATATTGAAGATTGAATTTATTTATATGGAATTCTAACTGGTATTTTTAACTAAAGAATCCTAAATCAGATCATATTGAAATGTTCATTGGGATCAACAGAATATAAAGATCACCCATCCTTTAATATCTGCCAGAGCCCTTAGACGTATATGTCGCTTCACAGGGCTCTCTAAGCGATTTACAGAGTCAGCCTCTTGCCCCCAACCATCTGGATCCTCATTTTACCCACCTCGGAAGGAGGGAAGGCTGAATCAACCTTCAGCCGGTCAGGATCAAACTGCTGGCAGTGGGATGTTTGTCTGCAATACTGCATTCAAACCACTGACCACAAAGGGAGGGAGGGAGGGAGGGAGGGAGGAAGGAAAATAGCAATAGCACCTAGACTTACTGTATTTTTCAGAGTATAAGACACACCAAGGTTTTCAAGAGGCAAATAAAAAAGAAGTTTTTGCACTCTGCAAACCTCCCAAAAACGAGCCCAT